GAAACGTGGTCAAGATCCAGAACTCTGACTCTGAGGAGCTTTCAAAAGAGATTGACACACGTGACGTCTAATACTGATGCTGTTCTAATATCCTCGCTGTACAGGGCGATCCTTCAAAGGTTAAGCCCTTTTGAGGTGTTTGTGTATGAACCGTGTTATACAAATAAACTGGCCGTGCCTCTGCCAGTGTCTGTGTGTGTCTGTGTGTGTCAGTGTGTGTCAGTGTGGGTCAGTGTGTGCCAGTGTGTGTCTGTGTGTGTCTTTGTGTGTCTGTGTGTGTCTGTGTGTGTCAGTGTGGGTCAGTGTGTGCCAGTGTGTGTCTGTGTGTGTCTGTGTGTGTCTGTGTGTGTCTGTGTGTGTCAGTGTGTGTCAGTGTGGGTCAGTGTGTGCCAGTGTGTGTCAGTGTGTGTCTGTGTGTGTCTGTGTGTGTCAGTGTGGGTCAGTGTGTGCCAGTGTGTGTCTGTGTGTGTCTGTGTGTGTCTTTGTGTGTCTGTGTGTGTGTCTGTGTGTGTCAGTGTGTGTCTGTGTGTGTCTGTGTGTGTCAATGTGTGTCTGTGTGTGTCTGTGTGTTTCTGTGTGTGTCAGTGTGTGTCTGTGTGTGTCTGTGTGTGTCAATGTGTGTCTGTGTGTGTCTGTGTGTGTCAGTGTGGGCCAGTGTGTGTCTGTGTGTGTCTGTGTGTGTCAGTGTGGGTCAGTGTGTGCCAGTGTGTGTCAGTGTGTGTCTGTGTGTGTCTTTGTGTGTCTGTGTGTGTCTGTGTGTGTCAGTGTGTGTCAGTGTGTGTCTGTGTGTGTCTGTGTGTGTCAATGTGTGTCTTTGTGTGTCTGTGTGTTTCTGTGTGTGTCAGTGTGTGTCTGTGTGTGTCTGTGTGTGTCAATGTGTGTCTGTGTGTGTCTGTGTGTGTCTGTGTGTGTCTGCGTGTGTCTGCGTGTGTCAATGTGTGTCTGCGTGTGTCAGTGTGTGTCTGTGTGTGTCAGTGTGGGTCAGTGTGTGCTTGTGTGTGTCTGTGTGTGTCTGTGTGTGTCTTTGTGTGTCTGTGTGTGTCTGTGTGTGTCAGTGTGTGTCAGTGTGTGTCTGTGTGTGTCTGTGTGTGTCAATGTGTGTCTGTGTGTGTCTGTGTGTGTCTGCGTGTGTCAATGTGTGTCTGCGTGTGTCAGTGTGTGTCTGTGTGTGTCTGTGTGTGTCAATGTGTGTCTGTGTATGTCTGTGTGTGTCTGCGTGTGTCTGCGTGTGTCAGTGTGTGTCTATGTGTGTCTGTGTGTGTCAGTGTATGTCTGTGTGTGTCAGTGTGTGTCTGTGTGTGTAAGTATGTGTCCCTGTGTGTTTGTTGTTGTTGGCAGGCGTCCCTCGCTGTTGTGTGTCTCTTTCTGTGTAATCCGTGCATGTGCCAGAGAACACTGCAGAAGTCTTGGCCCGTGTCTGTGAGAGTGTGCGTCTGCCAGCGACACACAACCGCCTCTGTTCTCGCACTTAGACAACACAAAGCACACAACACTTAACCCCGACCCCACTCTGCCAACGCTGGATTATTCACGGCTGGGATTGTGAAAAACAAACAGTCCCACAAGTTGTTCTTTCTGTGTCCGCACGAGTGAGTGGATGTTCTGCTCCTCAGTCCGTCACTTTGATCATTATTGTTAAAGGAGCAGAATGTCGACATGTGGCCAAAAGTGGTACTGCAGCCTCTCCCACTCTCACTGACTCAGGTTGCCAGGTAGGTAGATAGATAGATAGATAGATAGATAGATAGATAGATCCCCATCCAAAATAAAAGTAAGCATTCCTCCAGTGGATTTTCACCTGGTCTGCTTGGTTCGGACCATGAATCCTCTCTGCTCTGGTCTGGACCAGTGTAAAACCATGAACACTGAACTGCACCAACACCTCAGGTAGAAAAAAGCAAGAAAAATAAAATGTATAAAGCACAAAACAACAACTGTTTCAGAGACACTTAGGACCTGCCGCCGTTTTCCAGAACATTCAAAAGATATGCAGACGAATCCAGCTGGGACCATAACAGCTGAATAGACAAGAGTTTTTTCAACAACAAATCTATAACCAACACCTTTTTGTCTGAACCCTGAGCCTTCTGAACCATCTCTCTATCTGCCCCCACTCTCTGTAACTCTTTGAAACTCTCTGAAAGTCTCTGGAACTCTCTGGAACTCTCTGAAACTCTCTGAAACTCTCTGAAACTCTCTGGAACTCTCTGAAGCTCTCTGAAACTCCCTGGAACTCTCTGAAACTCTCTGGAACGCTCTGAAACTCTCTGAAACTCTCTGGAACTCTCTTGAACTCTCTTGAACTCTCTTGAACTCTATTGAACTCTCTTAAACTCTCTGGAACTCTCTGGAACTCTCTGAAACTCTCTGAAACTCCCTGGAACTCTCTGAAACTCTCTCTGAAACTCTCTGGAACTCTCTGAAACTCTCTGAAACTCTCTGAAACTCCCTCGGACTCCCTGACACTCTCTGACACTCTCTGGAACTCCCTCGAACTCCC